AAAAAAAAAAAATGCCCACTCCAGTTATTACGGCCGCTCTTTTTTTTACGTTTTATACATAATCGTGACTAAAAATTACAACAGTTTATTATCTGGACATATAAGCCACAAATCTATTGGCTTAGTCCATCCCTGTTCAACATACCTAAAAAAAAGAAAAAAGCTTAGAGATGTTGATAATGAAAGCTTGTCATCGCCAAATTTACCCGTCCTAAATGTATTTGCATATGAGTTTTGAGCACGCAGGAATATTCACTGCATTTATAAAGTCGTAAATCAGAATGAACTCGCATGTGCCTGCGCAATTTATCTTTACGATTAAATGATTTACCACATTCGGAACAAGTATATGGTTTTTCGTCACTATGCGTTACCAAATGTTGGAAAAATCAAAATCCAAACACTTTCGAGAATTCGCCTTGGTCATACAATTGCAACTCACCAATGAATCTTGAAGAAGTCTTCCTCCCCAATCTGCAATTGTAGACAAATTCTTACTATAAAACACATACTCTGTGACTGGCTTAACTTCACCTTGGCTAAAAGTATTGCATTTGGAACGATTAACCCTAGGGACATTCTACAATCGGCTACAGAACAGAAAATCGATACAATATATTACTTTGTCTCAAATACTTGGCTCAATACCTAATGTACTTTTATAAATTAGATCTGTGCTACTAATGCTCAATGTCTTTTATTTTAGTCCAAGAATTTATTTCATTTGTCTAAAATTATAATAATAATAATAATAATAATTACCTTCACCATTACTCTGCTGCGTTGGCGCTCGACTGTCAGCTACTGTTACTGTTACTACTTGTTGGCTTTGGTTTGTAGCGAGTTGTTGCCTCAGGGCTTCCATTTCTGCCTTAAGGCGCCGAACCTCCTCCGCCAGTCCTGCCTGCGCTGACGTTGATGGTCCATCGTAGACGTTTAAATAATGAAATATATTTCTAATGGGGCTTTCAGACGGCATACTAGTCGTAATAGCGTCTGCCTGGTCTACCTGAAAATACATAAATAATAAATACGTGAAAATTCAATAATACCTGGCAATAAATTTCTATTTATTACGTCCGTCTCGTCAAATCCTAATAAATCTTCGCCACAGGTGGCCACAATCCGAGTTTTTTCGTCTCCTAGTAATTGGTCCGTCATTATCTTCGTCGTTCACACCAGTGACGTTCGACCGCTGCTCTTCCTACTGTGTAATCGTCTCAAGTCAATCCTAATCCCGTTTAATTTCTCTACAACCTTCTCAGCGGTTATCAAGTGGTGAATTTCCTTCGTCAGTTGTTCAGATAACTCCTGATACAGTATTTTACACCCCCTACGTCCGTCAATACCCCACAACGATAATTGAGATACGGATTGTCATGGATTACGATAAATTAAATCATACGGTTTTTAAGGGTAATCTCTTAGCGGAGAGAAGTTTAGGCTTGAAACTACGCGAAAAGAAGGCCAATTACTACCTAAAGTAGGGTGTAATTAGTTGCTCATTCTCATGTCTGACTATAGTCAAATAATGAAAAGTTTTTTTAATTTTCGATAAATGTATTCGCTCTATAGCGATTATTGCGATCTAAATTTAAACATTCGTTTGTGACGGCCATTACGATGATTTTTTTCGATTTAACCATATAGGTCTTTGTATCTATTCCTTCGCGTATCCCTTTATCTGCCTACTTAGTTACTGTGGCTAGATCTGCAGCCTTAATCAAACGAGTTCCTTAGAAGCTTGGGCAGTTAATATAGTTGAATTGGCACCGCTCAGCGTTGCGAGGCTGTAGGAGAGACGGCCTATTCCAAGTACTGGGCACCAGAATGAAAGTTTAGATAAGGTGCGAATGTTCCCCTCTGGGCAAGGCGAGACATATCAAATACCTCTAACTATTTAATGCATTTTATGGATAACCCCTCGATGGGCCGCACCCAACGGTCAGGCTTCACACATTGTCTAACCTGCTGTGTTCAAAATGTGATTGGACGTATCAGCTCTCACCGAAGTTTCGAAATGGTATGTCAATGTGCAAGTGTCCCCTCGAAGGACCTGGGCAAGCACCAGTCTGCAGTTCAACCAATGACATCACCTCTAATTGTCTAAGCAGAGTAATCGTGACTTTGTGAGTGGGCAACCTGACCCTCGTGAATTCTATTGTTCTTACTAAGCCTTAGAATTACCGGCATGCGCGTGTGATTATGTTCATCAAGTTTGCATTTGCATTTTGGATATTCCATACCTTCAGGAAAGCCAACCCTAATCGGTCCTGGCGAGTATGTGGGCGACATAGAATTGATTGAAGGATGTTTAAGAACACAAACACTGACCACCATTGGTTAGCTTTTTCATTTAGAAAAAAATCCATTTTATCATAAATTTTTTCTACGTTTTTTAAAATCATTTTCCAGCTATCGGTACCTCAATCTTCTCTAAGTAATTGTTGCTTATTCATTATTTTGTGTCCGCGCTTTTTTAGTTATCCGTCATAATTACTATTCGCTAGAATTACACAATACAATTGTGCTGACTCATTGACTATGTCTGGTAGGAATTTTCATCTTTTTGCTGCGACGACTAAAGTCGCTTCCATTTTTAGCAGATTCCAAAAGGCGTACCTCCTCTTCCAAAATAGCAATTTGATGTTTAAGATCATTCCCGTCTTTTTGATTAGCCTGAATTTTTCGTCTCATATTTTGTATGCAATCGGTAGTTTTCTTTAAAATCTCAGCTCGACTCGCCTTTTCTCCTTTTAATGATGGCACTGCTTTTCGCAAATTAGTGAAGCTTTCTTTGATGTGCTCACGTCTTTTGCGTTCCAATGCATTATGGTGGGCCCGCTTTTCTTCTTGTGTGAAATTTTGTGTACTATTCTTTCGTTGATTAAATCGATCATTGAAGCTCGTAATCTTTACGCGCTCTATAGTTAAAGATATCTTTTACATTGCAGACAGATGTCTATTAATTAGCTTTATAATTACCGTTACCTTCGGCTCGTTCGCTTTCTGATCCCTCTCCAGCCGCGTTATATGCCATCACTTTGACAAAATAATAGGTATCAGGTTGTAAACCTACAATTAAATCCCAATTACGTGTAGTCCGTGATAAGTAATACACCGCATCTTCTTCTTCCTGCGTAGTGTTCCAATATTTTATCTAGATGATATCCGTATCGTTAGTTCAATTTATAATTCTGGGTATAAATATTACTTACGCGATGACCTATAAGTCTTCCTCTTATATTTTCGCGTGTTAACTCGATCGACTCCCAAGTAACATTGAAAGCGTTCGAGTTGAAAGCGTGAGTTTTCGGTTCTTGAGGAACTACTAGAGGCATGTTTTCGGCTGAGTATATAAGTACTACTTCACTTTCTGGTCCTTTGCCCACGTTGTTTAAAGTTTGAACTTTAACCTCGTATTCAGTTCAGTAATTATTAAGCGGTATGTTTGCCACAGCCATTCCTATATTGTCTTGACGCTTAATAATTTCTGAAGCCCATTCCAATTTGCCTTTCAGACACCAAAACACTTTGTAGTATATTCCATGACTGTGCTGTTCTTGAGGTAGTAAAGGATCCCAGGTAATGGTCAGATCGTCAATCTTACCGCCCCCTCCACATACATTTTTAGGAGCAATGTAGGGCCTGCCATTAAGAAATTGGTAACGCAATGGTTTACTCTTGATAATAAATCCCACCTGTCTTCGTGTGTGCTATAAATAGGAGCTGGGGTAGAAGGCGTGCCTATACCCAATTCCTTAACTGCGGCAACACTAAATTCATAGAATGACCACGGAGTTAAATTTGAAATTTCGGCTTGCTGTCTACTTGTGTAACGGTCAATTTCATGTGTTTACACATGTGTTGATACATTTACCCATGTACGATTCCAATTAGTGCGGCCTAAGTTTGGGGAAAAAGAAACCCATTATTTTTTCGGTAGACGGCTGCACTGATAGATTTCTCGTAAAGTATCGATCAAACAACTTGAGATTTATGCTCATTGGAAAGGTGACGTTTCGCAGTAAAAAAAATTCTTTTGCTGTTTTTTGTTTGGTGCATTCAGTTGTGAGTTACAGCGTGTTAAAAATGGAAGTGAACAAGAGAAAATTCGGTACATTTTACAGATTTTCTTTGACAAAGGCGAAAATGCAAGCCAGGCGGCTAAAATTGTGAATACTGTTTTTGGTTCCGTTACTGTAACAGCCAATTATGTGCAATTTTGGTTTCGTAGATTCCGTTCAGGAATTTTTGATGTTAAAGATGCACCTCGCAGGTAGGCCGGTCATCGAAAATGTCGATAAAATCGGAGAAATGATCGAAGTTGACCGGCATGTTAGCAGTCGTAACATCGCCCAGGAGCTAAAAATCGACCATAAAACAGTTTTAAACCATTTACACAAATCTGGATTCAAAAAGAAGCTCGATGTTTAAGTGCAACACCAATTAACAGAAAAAAACATGATGGATCGAATTTCCATCTGCGAAGCCTTGGCCAAACGGAACGAGATAGACTCATTTCTTAAACGGATGGTGACTGGAGATGAGAAATGGATCACATACGATAACCCTGTGCGAAAACGATCGTGATCGAAGAGCGATGAAGCACCTCAAACAGTTGTCAAACCAGGACTAACGGCCAGGAAGGTTTTGCTATGCATTTGGTGGGACTGGAAGGGAATTATTTATTATGAGTTGCTTCCATATGGCCAAACGCTAAATTCTGATCTCCACTGTCAACAACTGGACCGTTTGAAGATAGCGATTGACCAGAACCGGCCAGAATTGGCCAACAGGAGAGGTGTCGTGTTCCACCAGGACAACGCTAGGCCACACACATCTACAGTGACTCGCCAGAAACTTCGGGAGTTTGGTTGGGATGTTTTAATGCATCCGCCATACAGTCCGGACTTGGCACCAAGCGATTATCATCTTTTTCTTGCATTGCAAAATTTCTTTAATGATATAAAATTGGAATCTAGGGAGGATTGTGAAAATCGACTACTAGAGTTTTTTGCAAATAGAGACCAGGACTTCTATGAGAGAGGCATTTTGAAGTTACCTTTAAAATGGCAACAAATCATACAACAAAACGGTGCATATTTGACCTAAATCGGACAATCCGAAGCATGTTAAATAAAGTGCTGAAGTTCATATAAAAATAATGGATTTCTTTTTCCCCAAACTAATATTATAATAACGTATAGACCGTCCGTTATTTGCACCATCCATTCCATTCTATAAGGGCTTTCCTTTTTCCAATATATACTACTTGGACACCACCTGGGGCCCCAGTAGCACCTTCTACTACAACATTTGTTTTAGCTGAGATTTCGTTAACGGAAAATTTGACCACACACTCGTAATCCCCGCCATCTAGCATCGTTACATTGTGTACAGTTAAACGATTATAATCGATGATCTTAAATATAAAACGCGATTAGTGATTGTGTGGAACGTATATCTATGGGAATGAGTGCTCACCTACAATTTTCTCCAAACCGTCCTGGTTGTTTTGCAAAATCCCACCGTCATGTTTCCATACATACGCAACTTCTAAAAGTTCAAAAGAAATTGGGTACACACGTCGCGGCTGCATTCACCTTTACTATTAAAAAGGAATTTGTAATAATGACCGTCGGCACATATTGCTAAAAATTGTTGTAAAACTAACTATGAGAATACTTTGCAATTAAATCAAAGTTTACATACCAATTACTGAATTCGGGTCAAATCCGAAAGCACAAATACAGCTGGGTTATTGTCACTACCGAAAACTGGCCCTAGTTGCATACGTTCTTTGGCGTACCATGTGGCAAAATCGTCACCAAATAATTAATTCTGTACCTTCGCCTTGAACTTTAAAAGTCACATGAATTTCCCAATTCACAGTCATGCATGGCTGAAGTTATTAAAAAAAAACTTTCCTTGAAAAATCATATCGCATAACTTCAACTTTTTAATTCACCGGAAAATTCCAAATAGCTCCACTTTTTGATTGCTAGTCTCGTGTCAGACTAAAAGCCACTGATTCTCGTATAATATTTAAGCTGAGTTTAATGGAAACAATACTTCCTAATAATGAGTTTCACCAAAAATTACTGTATTCAGAACTTTACCCATAACTTTCACAGCGCCTACAAAATTTTGCCATTCAGCGAAATTCTTTGTTTGATATTGTATGATGAGATATCCTATTTTTTTACTCAAGGCATGGCCAACAACTACCAGCCAACCATGCTTATTATATCCGCGACATCTTTCAAGGAATTATTGAAAGGTTCTATAAAATAAAACAACGAAACAGCCAACAATTCAGGAGCAGCGTTTAGTAAATCATGTAAGCGCAAAAGATTTGATTCGCCTGCAAAAGGATTTCCAACTAAACTCTATGAGTAAAATAAAAACAAAAGGGAGATAGCACATCTTTTGGCTTTCACACTGCGTTTAACAAATTGTACGTATTGATATAATTCATTATTATATGATTCTTCGTAGTTACTGATAATGCAGCGTTTGAGCTTGTTAAGATATTTTACATTACCGGGAGCACAGACGTGTGTGGCAAAGAAGTAAAGAAGAAATACATTAGAGCAACACACTTTTTCTATCGTTATTTCACTTGACTTTAAGTAATCAGATCGGAAGCGGTTAATCGAGTTTGACGGCGGGATGAAACAAAAACTATAATGTTTGACTGCAAATAAATGATTAAAGAAAAGTCAGAAAAAAGTTATTTAATTCGGTTTAATTACCGGAAAACCCATTTATATGCACTTGCAATTCAACCGGTCTTACGAAAGGTTTAAAATTATATAACCTCGCTTCCTTAATATACGGCCAATTGGCGAGATCTTGAGCGTTGGCAAAAGCAGTAGATAAACCAACGATACGTATATTGCATCCTGTGTGGACATAACGAAATTCGTACGTGACACAGTTACTTCAATGTGTCTGTCTTCTCCCAGTAAATTTATTTCCTCTATAACAATCGCTAATTCTTTGCTGTCCCTACCGTCTCTTGAGAAACGTAGATTTGTTCTTGGCGTTTCCTTTCTAATTAAAGTAATAAATGGTGCCATTGACTCGCCTTCATTACTTGGTGAAATAAGCTTTAATGTCCCTAACCGCTTCTCTAGGCACTTTATCTTGGTTAAGCTTAATCAGTGTAAATTTAATTATGAGCTGTTTAATCCGCTCAGAGTCGTTTGAAAGAACCTAAATGACGTCTACCACTTATTCTCGTTATCGGACTCTTTAAAGTCCATTAAAGCAACATTGCTTAATACGCGCGATTTACCTATGTCGTATTAAAAAGTCGTTACGTTTCGAAAGTGAATTATTGTCAATTTATTATCGGTTGCCCGGCTTATGCATGTTTGCGATGGCTTAGGGGTTCATTTGCAATTTGGTCCTGCGCCGGTTGTAAGTGTGCTCCTATGCTGATAGTGTACATGCTTTTTTTTCTTTTTTTTTTTCTTCTTATTTGTTTTATTATGCTTATACTCAATTTTATTGTTAATTAATATAAGTTTTGCATTAAGAGCCAATTGAACTCGCCTGTTATTTGTTTAATTGAGTTTCTAGTATAAGTGGAATAAATAAAATAAATAAATAAATAAATAAACAATTAGTACAACGTCCTGTAAATATTCTCTTGTCTGGCAAGACCGGCTGATACATTTTTTTGGTGTGGTAACTATCAGTTGAGAATCCAATCGCTAATTCTTTCCTTAACCAAAGCTTTCAAAGGCGCAATGTAAACAACCTTAGCTCTTTCGTTATTATTGTCTGGCGATTTCTGCCATTATAGTTTTACCTGAACTTGTGGGTGACCCCAGCAAAACGTTATTATCAGTATGATAAGGACAATGAAAGACTTGAATTTGTATAGGATTGAAATGCGTAAAATTATATAAAGATTCATAGATTTTTCAGAGCACTTACAGCTATAGAACTAACTCTTGAAATCCCACTGTTGTCGTTCAAACATTTTGCACACTTGCAATATATGCCCTGCAAGTATCGAATCATTATTACGCAAGACAATCGCCCGCAATGCGTGTTATATTTTACACTATGTACGACATGTCAGAGACTAGAGCAAACGATTTAACATAGCCACGCGATAGGCATGTCTGCATTAATATGTTAATTATATACTATTAATCTGAAATTAAATTGAAATAAATAATAAAGTTATAAATGACAATCAGTAAAGAGAAATGCAAACTTACCATTGGAATGCAACGAATATTGCGAATATTGTTGTTCAAACATTTTGCACACAGGAGGGTGGCGATGGCGCGCGGAGGAACTTACGACCACGTGAGGTTGG